ACCAATAGCCGCTCTAGGTTTAGCATAGTAATAAGAACAATATCATTGATACCTAACAGCTTACCTGTGGGCACACATGCATCTGAAGAAGCACCCTTTGTGAAAACGTCTGTGTACACTGACCGCACCTCCAAATATGGGGCTCTCCATGATCTTTCAGGCCCAATCCAAAAGGGTCTAGTGGCCTTTCGTGGTCATCAAACTCCTTTGGGAGAAAAAAGACGAAGCGTTGTCAAAGCACGTTTTTATATCAAAGCGAGGAATGAATACTTAAGAATAAGATTTCTTCCCTCAGCCGGCAGCCTTCAAATAATCTAGAAGGATTTACGCCTTTAAGGAAAGGGGAAAGAGTAGATTTTTCATGCATCTTATCTTTTATGCACCTGGTCACGTACATCTTCAAAAAATGGCTCCTCTTCCATTCCTGGAGGCTTCCACTGAACTGTGTGCTCTAAAATAGGAATAAAGGGTATGAAAGTTTTTAAGGATTGCATAAACGCCAACACTGATCGATAGGTTGTCCGGAACCTCAAGAAAATCTTTAGACTATGCCCTCAAACGAGAGATAACACATCTATCAAATAATTGAGAGATTACGAGCACCCTGATTGGTTAAAAACTTGTCGGTTATTGCACCGGTAAACCCAAAGGAAATTAAAAAAATTGCAAGTATATTAATATTATGAAATAACTAAGGCACGGTGAGCTCGCTGATTGGTCAAAAACCTAACATTTATCGCATCGGTAACCCATAAAAGTTAATTAAATAAAAGCAATAGGCCGCACTTTCTAGCTGTCGGTTCACTACTTGGGATGTTGGGAGAACACTCGAAAGGTCTGTAAATCACTCGTCTCCGGCTTGTGATTTTTAAACTTTTCTCGCCTGAAAAATGCTTAAAAATGATTCATTTTCCGTATGCTCTTCTTACCTTTTATAACCCTTGCTTTCATCAACGCTGGTACATCAATGAACTCGGAGTATTGTTCGTCGTACCACACCAGTAGTTCCCGCCCGGCCGGAATATGCCTGAATGCCCGGTAGTAAATATTCCCGCAGTACTGAAACACCGTCATATTCTGTTCTTCTCTATACCGCGCGCACTGAATGAACCTCATCCAACTGGACAAGTATTCTTCACTTCCATCGATAAAATGGCTGAACTTTCCGTCTTTGTAAATCTATCACATTAGTAGAAAAAAAGGTTTCCAACACAGAAACTCCAGGGTTTAGCAAGGGAGAGGTCTAACTCACGTTCTGGTAACCCTCTTTCCGTGTCATAGAAGAGGGATCATTTAAAAAACAGAACTACCTGTCACACCCCCAGACTTCACGTAAGACGCTGATAGAGGACCGTCCTACCGAAAAGACCTGTTCACATCATGACTCTTTCCCAGGTCTCTCTTTCTTCCGCTAACTGGTGGGAAAATAAGAGAGAGCTTGGGAACGGGATTGAGATGGATTTGTAACTTCACCTAAATGGGACGCTTGTCTATTCAAGGCAATTCCACAATTCTATTCGGGGACACAATTGCACTCCTAATAAAATTTTGCTAGTTTACTCAACAATTGAAAAGCCTCAATTTAAAATGCTGTGTGGGGAGAAACTCTGAGAGAGTTCAGTGACTTCAACGCGTAGAAAAATACCCAGAGTCTCCACATTTCATGTTCATCGTTTTCCTTTTTTTCTGTCTCTCTCAAGCTCAGTCTGAGCTAATGCTGTTAAAGACAATAAACACCTCATCCTTATCTTAATTAAAACTGACTGACATCACGCTGAGAGGAGTTTTAACGGTTTGGCTAATCAATTGTCAACATATCGTCGTAAATAATAATAATAATAATAATAATAATAATAATAATAATAATAATAAAAAATTCCACATAGAACAAGGTGTCCTCATACCTCCCACATGTAAATATTATGCACCCCCTCTCGCAGTTCATCGCACCTAACAACCTGGCCTTCATATGGACCGATCCAAGTTCCGGGGGGAATGGGCTGAGCTGCACACACTCCAAACTCCGCCCCAGGAACGCTTGACTTGCAGAGTTTCACTTCATCCGGGAACACCATGGATGGGCTTGGTAGAGAACATCGCTTTTTCTTACGTTCTAAGTAGAGGTAAAAAGATTCATTAGAACAAAAAATTTTTTTTGATAGTATTCAGTATTCCTGAAGGAATACTTCTCAAATTAGTACCTGGGTTGTTTTCCTCTCGCTTGATAATCTTCCGCTGATCTCCAGGCATTGCAGTCTCCACAGCCGTATGTCCATACAAATACATACAAATCTCCTCCCAGGTGAATGGCGGCCTCTGGGATCTAGGCCCTTGTGGTTTACGTTCATTTGGATGCTGAACTTTACTCATGGCTTCTCTGGAAAAATAAAAAAAGCGAAGTGAGAACTTTTTTCGGCAGTCAAAACTCGAAAAGGTTCTCATTTCTCGTTACCCTAATCTTGAATCAAAGACTCGTTGAGGTATTTCATTGCCTTCTCAATCTGATTTTCTCTGTTCCGTAATGTATCGAATGAATTCCTACACATTTCTTTGCAAGTTAGCTTGGTCCAGAAGAAAAACATAAAATAAAAGACGCAAGGAGCAACTTTTAATCCTTTGTACCCTAACATTGGCATTTATATTTTCCACCTTGTTCTCTCAACAATTCCCATGGTGCTGACAAGCAAAAGTGGACAAACGAGTGTCTGAGAATCAGTAATGTCGAAAAATTGGAGGGGTAAAAATCTACCCGAATTTCGAACAGGTTTTATTCAAAATCATGTTGATGTCTTGGTTCTTAATTACGTTGAATCTATTCACTGTTGATGTTTCATCTACTATTGGGGCATGATTGAAAAGTGAAAAATAAGAAAGCTGGGTATTTGTGTGAATGAATGCAATTTCCAACAATATCCTCGAGAACTGTTAGACTGTCCTAAGTTGCTGTTCAATTTGAAGACATTAAATTTGTCTTCCCACGGAGTAATGTAAAACAATGAAACATTTTGAGTTTCATCTTCTATCTTTGTTTACTTATGGGTTTTGCTGTTATAGTTATGGAATTTACCTTAATTTTCACCTGAACAGTTACCACAGTAAGACAGTCTAAGTTTTACACTGGAAGGTTTTGCCTAGCCACCGAAACTATGAAGTCAGCGATTTGCCCATCGCAAACAAAGCGCGCCAGATGATTCCAAGGGTAGCCAGCAGAATTAACCAACAAATTGCTTAATACTCTGTCATGAATACAATTTTCTTGGTTTTAGTGGATGTTTACGATTTCTTGGGGTTTGTTTCCAACACTTAGCAGGCAATCTGGTAAATAATTCAGGGAAGGGATACTTTTTACCACACGGTTTGTGAAGGAATATATATTGTCCAAAACTTGAGTGTTAATTTATAGGTTTTTGTGCAAAATAATTGATAAACAACCAAGAGTAAAACACCTTCAAATTTGGCTTGAGACCTTCTTGAAAAAAGGTTTAACAATTAAAAATCACACGCACCTGTTTGGATCAAAGCAAACATACCTACTTTCCTTTGTTTCTTTAGAGCTTAAAGTTGTTAACAAACGAAGCCTTCGTAAACGTTTGGAGTATTTACATCATGGTTGTGTCAAAATGGTTGGAGATTTAGTGTAAAATGAATTTCGCATTTTAAAAGGCAAAAACGTTGTGAATTGGCTACGCTCTTGTAATAATTGTTTGTTTTATTTCTGCTGAAGTATCAACAAAAGTTCTCGCTATTGCGACATACATATCGAAAAACTATTTCTCAAGTCCTAACAAATCATACAATCAAGGACACTTATCACCTTGGTGGAATTCGTGCCTTAAGTTATCCCCAAAAGTCTTCCTTGTGCATATTTGAATGATAGCAAGTAAAGCTGTCATAAAATCTACACTTTTTGACAGGAATGTTTAATTTGTTAAGCAGGTAGTTTAACTTGGGTTGTTATCAATATTGATAGTGAGAATGCCTCCGATATAGACCACCAAGGGCACGGAGATAAGCGAATATCCCAGCATGGGCAATATTGTCTAATAGGATACCTCAAATAAGTCTGTAGGTTGGAAATGTAAAGAAAAGATATACGAAGTATACCAGAGTTTTTCCTTCTTATAGAACGGAATGGGTAGCGAATATCGAGAGGTATGCTAAATTCAAGTTATAAAAAGCGCGAATAAAGCTGCTTGGTATTTCTGTGGATGAAGAGAGGTATTGAACACACTCTCATAGAACCCTAAATCATAATCGAATCAACCATAAATAGAATTCTGAATCTAACACAAACTACGAAAAAAAACCAAAACATTCTGAAATTAACACAAAATATGTTCTTGACAAAAATACCTTACTCGGTGTCTTAAAAAATTTAGAGAAACTCTCGACTAGGAGCAACCCTATTGTATTTAAGATGCTTACAGAAACAACTAAGTAAAAAATTGCCCTCCTTTTTTTTTCATTTCAGTTAGGGACGAAAAAAAAATCGGTTTGTCATGAATCACTCTGACATCAAAGCCTGCACATTAACAGCCTGCAATATCTGCCAATTTTAGGGAGAAATATGTTAATTAACAAATTTTGATATCAACTTAACTTTGGATGTCATAATTCTAGCTGTAAGATGACGTACTGCCAAAATGGAATTTTTTTCTACATACAGACCATCACAGTGGAAACATTCTGTCAACTCGAACTTTCAATTACGAGTTGAATTTTTGCCAGAATCTTGCGCAAGATCGACCTACGAACCCCCATCGTTGTTCCAAAGGAAACGAGTGAAAAAAGGAAATAATGAAAACAACATTCTCACTGTTCAGCTAATAAAATAAAAAGTAACCGAGACATTGCTCGACAAGAATTAAGTAAAGAATTTCCCTCACAGTTTGACACCGAAAAAGTTTACCACAGAATTCAGAACATTTTCTACGACGATGTTCGCGCGAAAGTGAGAAGTCGAAGAAAGAAAGAACTAATGCACAGTTTTTTTGTTTCTTTAGGAATTCCTCTCTATTGTTACTGAAACTTAAAGTTTCTTCTGTCTGCAGAGAGGACCGAACTACTGCCACAATAACTGACAAAATACATGAAGTTTCCATCCAAGTTTTTCCTCAGTATAAAACTATTTGCAAGAGACAATAAATAATACAAAGCCAAGATCCAATCGCACCAGTAACTTACCCTCAAAATAAGGACAAAAATTAGTCAGAATTTAGGTCAAACTGGGTTTGTCGATACAACCTTCAAATGCTGCAAAACCTATACCAGGAATGAATAAAGAACCACTCTCTTGCGTTCAGGCCAATTTCTGACCACGAAAGACACGACCCTATCACTGAATAAAGCGGCCTGGTTTTGCTTTTAGTTTATTTGGGGCTTTGTTGTATTAATTAAACCTAATCAAGCATTTGTCACCTGCCAAATAATAGTAAAAACCGGAGAAAAACTGCTATTGTGGCGTTCAGTGGGTGGAAGCACTTCCAATTTCCAATCCTTAAGACTGCAGACTTTTGGATTAGACATCCTTTTTCTCAGCAAATCCTACCCATTTTTTTGCAAATAACTATATTTTTATAAATCTACTCCCACGCCACTTATTTATATAATTTTGCAATTGGAAATTTTCAGGGTTTTGATTATACACCGCAGATACCGAGTGTTATGGACCGATAAATGATTCAGAGTGGTGTTACTGTTATCTCGAAAACTATAAAGCATTTTATCATAAAATGTAGATACTTGAAGTGCTGAAGGGTTCACGCCACTCATTATTTCAGCAAAAAAGTCATCTTTTCCGGGTTACACAAAAATTGTCGAAAAATATTTTGTGAAAATGAAATAAACTAGTATCTTGTGTAGTAATAAGGGCCAGCGTTTAAGTTTAAAAAAAATGGTATCAGTCAGAAAGCCTTGTTTTTTCCCTGGTTGCATTAAATTAACTGGTATTTAGTGGCTGTGGAATATATTCCTTTTTTAATTAAAATTAAAATTTTTAACACAACAAAATATCATACCTTCCAGACTACCTTAACAACACATCATTACCAGTTCCCATCCAATTGTCCCTTCCCACTCAATTATCCATCTTCGAGATTCAATATCACCAACTTCATGTGCATAATTCAACGTTGTGTCAGACTGTCAAACAAAAATCTGCTCTTTATGACAGAAAATTTTAATTTGTAAAGCAGGTACTTTAACTTATACTGTTATTAATATTCATCGGGACCATTTTTGAAAACTGACCGCCAAGGACAGGCTATAAATATCATATCATTGTGGTCAGGAGACAATGGAATGGCGCGAGCAAACTAAAATATTTTAATTTCTCTCAAAGGAGAAAACATCGTCAAAATGATCAGAAAATAAAATGTAAAAAAATCCGTGATGTCTTCTTGTAAATTTTGAGAGATGGACAATTTACAAACACACGAAAACAAATAGGGTGAAAAGATGAATAAGACAATGAACAGGGTGCACTGACAGACCTGAATAAGGAACAGAAACAATCTCGCATATATTTGCTGAAGAAAAATTCTTCAGTACTTGAAGTCGTAGGAAAGTATGGCTTAAAAGATGAAGTGATCTTACAAAATAAATATCCGAACAGTGTCATACAAGCTTTTACATAGAGTTTCGTACATTTACTTATAATAGTTTGTGATAATGAGGAGTCGGAACTTCCTTTTTTAAAAAACATGAATAAAGTGTACCACAAGTAGGTGAGTCTAAGTATTAGTCAGGGCAGTGCACTTGAGTTGTATGCCAGACTACCTTTTATCCGGACGTAACACAGAGCCAGAGCGAATATAGCAATCTAACACAACTTTGACACGATACCACATTACATCATGCAGAGTATATATGACACAACGTTAAAGAAATGTTAAGTTAATTTCATTTAAAAAATGTCTGAAAAAACTGGAAAATTATCCCGAAATATTTGGAAAGAATATCTTTAGGAAGCACAGTTCAGTGTGACTCAATTTGATATGAACAGAACAAATTTCTTTTCGTCATAGAGTATTCTAACGACACAACAAGGAAATTGTTTTTGAGTCGACAATTTGACAATTAATTTTTAACTCAACGATGTCTTGGTATTAAAGTTTTCTTTAAAATATTCTAAACAATCACATACTTGAAAATCTAGGGATATAGCCAAGAGAAGTTACGAATTGATCCAAATAAAATGTGTTAAAATGTTTTGAATAACTCCATCGAAATACCGCTGAAACAAGGGAAAAGCGAAAATTATCCTCGTTAGAATTTCTTGTCTTATAATTTTTTTGGTAATTAACACGATAAAAGTGATGTTCTCTTGCACGCTATCTTGAACGCACTCCAAAAGTTGATGGAAATAATAATTCAAACAAAACGCCATCAGTTGTTTCAATAATAATTTATCTTTGGGCTTGCTGCTGCTATAATTATGAAACCACTCTCGACTGAACTTCACGAGTTTCTCTGTGCTTGAAGTTATAGTCTGTTCTTGAACCACAAAAGAAAACATACATCAAATATGTTATTTTTTAAAATAACCACAATCTTAACCACTACAAAACGGTTTGAAAAGAAGTTAACACCTTTCCTCATGAATCTAATTTACTCAATTTTGACATGGTTGTAAATTTCTAAGGTTTTGTTTACAACACTTTCTGTAGGCTATTTATAAATAATTAAGCACCTCAAGCTACTTTTACCACAGTTTCGTAAACCTTTCTGTTTTTTTTTTATTCAAAACTATTTCCAAAAACAGCGATAAGTGATAATTTTTTCTGGCATCATAGGCTTTCATAATCTATTATCTGTGCTCACTGAAACCGACTTCGCTTTTACACAGGAACGGTTTCGAAAACTTGAATTTTATCACCTTCCCCCGCAAACAACAGAATAAACGAGTTTTAGATGAACGTATGTTTCCTCTCCAAAGTACAGTGCTTAAAACGGTTCTTGGATCAAGAAACTTCCTTAAAAATAGCTGGACTTATTTCCAAAACTAATAAAATATATTTTGCGGCTTACTAACATTTTGCGATATTTTTATAACAATTTTACCTCATAGTTAGATAACATCAAGGGATTTACACCAACTAATTAAACATAATACCCTAAAACAGTACACTATATCTTACTTTTCAGCATGTATCATGGTTAAATCCTCTGGGTTAGGCCCCCAAAATACTGTCCTCTGCATAATTGGATTATCTCAAGTCCAAATGTCATGAAATCCGCACTTTTTGCCAGAATTGTTTAACTTGTCAAGCAGGTAGTTTAACTTATACTGTTTACAATATTCATGATGTCAATACTTGGTATAGACCGCCAAGGGCAGGGAAATACTGCATAGTACCAGCACGGCCGAGCAAATATCGCGTGAACTACAGACAGTGAAAAGGTACAACCCGTGTTTATAACTAAGATACAAGAGGATTCAAGTTTGTAGAATATGACTGCTTCATAACTACGACAATGTTATAATTACTGTCAGTGTCAACTTTAGCATTATTTGTGAAATTATTTCGGCAGATATCACTTATGGCAAACTACTTTGTGACACATCCCAGCGTGTTTACAGTAAACGTTAATAAAATTTTTAGTTTTCTAAAGGTGGCAATACACTCCCAAATTAACCAAAACTGAAAAAGTAAAAATGTGAAATTTCTTGAAGACAAATAAAGATTGTTAGCTCTTCAAAAATCATAAATCATAAACGAATCTAACAGCTTCTTACAAAAACTAACATAACAAAGTGGGAATTATAAGGATGGGCGAATTTCTGTTTGAGAAAATCAAATGCAGAATTCCTTATCAAAAGTTCTATCCCCTAGTATAGGTGATGTTAGAGAAAATCTTGACTTTTTTCTTACTTGATGTCATAATTACGAACCCCCCTGTAATAGAAATATTTTGATAAAAATTTATTCCATCTGAAAGAAGTAGAAATATAGAGCTATCTATCGTAATTTATTTACGTTATTTAATCCCTCTCTGTCTTATCAAGGGAACTTGGAAGTTATCTGAAACATTCCAAATTTTTTTTTATTGCATAAACATTATTTTTAGTTTGATGCGCGTATAAAAAAATTGGCTCATGTATATGAAACTAACCGCGGACGTATTATGACCAACATTTTGCTTTACCTTAGCCTAAGAGTTTAATGTCACAGCTAGACACGTTTGTATGCTAATAAAAGATTTTTGTGGGGTAGAGACTATAACCTCATACTTTGAGGTTTGGTACAAATTATTATCTGCAGACACAACATTTCTCAAAGAGTTTAGAGTTTAAAAAAAATCGCGGAAGGCAAAGATAATTTGCCCGCAATTAAGGAGCCCGTAAGGATTTCACTAAATTTGAAAGCAGTCTCATGACAAAACAAGTAATTTAACAAGCTTAATAAAATTTCGATAGCTCTTTCTGACAAATAGATATAATGTCAGTAAGAATAAAAATTATCCTCCTGGCTTCCTAATGTAACAGTCTTGAATGGAACTTCAAAAGTTTTCATGCCAAGAGCTAACGTTTCTATACCCGAACTCCTGCTATCATGGTGCAGCGCCTCGAACGCTTTCCTAATCGTCAATTCTAACAATTTCGTTCAAAAGATGGATTAAATTTTTATTTTATTCTCGCGTAACCATGATCAGAACTCTAATAAGATTGTCATGACATCTCGAAAAGTAGTCCAAGTCTTTTGCTTCTTATGAGGTTCTTTGGCTGTTACCTTTAGTATCATTGAGATCTTTGCTAGAAAACTGCGGTATCGATTCGAAGATTATCATAAAATTTCCAGTTTTCGACAGAAGAATCTGAGTTGACAAGCAGGTTGTTTAACTATATTTTTCTTACGCATTTGTAGTAACCACATCATTAGCATATCGACATATGTACGTGAATGCGACTGAATATATATCAGTGTCGTGAAAAATTGCAGATGAACTTACAACTAAAGACAATAAGTCTGATCCCCTCTCGCAACACGGCTGTATTCCCAAAAAGTAGCTCAAGATTACCCATTTACTGACTGCACCAAGAAAATTATCTTGACTGCACCTAGAAACGAAAAGTTTAGCGTGGCAAAAACAAATTTTGAAAATTTAAGTTCGTTGAAATAACGAACTTAAATTGATTGATTTCAAGACTCTCTTGAAACGAACCAACAGAATTTGAACAAAGGAAAATTAAAACAGGCGTAGTCAAAACAAAAAGTTTTAAACAAAAATGTTGGGAAACTAATACCTCTCCTAAAACAAGATACAATCCAAATATTCAGCGAAAAACTGAAACTTCCTGAGAGAATTTCTTCCTTTCCTTGAGAAAAGACCGAAGTAATTTTGTTAAAATCTCTTCGATCTAGACCCTGCCAAGCGTTTACCCTTGACAATAGCATGTGTTTAGCAGAAACATTGCGAAACTACCTGTTTCAAAATTCATAACATAACGATCAGGTACTGATTGAAGACAGTGAGTTTCTTACGCCCATCTGCGTAGGTAATCTATAGAAAACTACATCATTAATATTTGGCAAAGAGTGAGACACTGGATATTTTTAAATTCAGAAGACCTTTTCTTACCAAAACAAGGATAAATAAAAATTGTCTGAAAACAAGCACGGCCATTTGGTCATCTTTGAACAAGCTTGTTGGAATTTCAAGTCTTCAGTTTATTTTTAAACTGAAAAGACAAGCTTTGTAAGAAAAACATTTCAGTGTAAAACATCAGTCGCTGTATATTAAATTTTCTTCTGTTCCGTCAAATCCGTGATCTTGTAGGAGCATATTTAAGCCTATAAACTTCTGTAAAAAAGAGGATACAATTTCATCCATTCTTTTACCTTCGAGAACCTTACAACCACTTTCCCCGGAGTTATTTGGAAAAAAACCTATGGATTTGTTTATGATCTCAGGTGATTTTATCCGTAATCACCGCATGCCTCACAAAGGTTTTCTATGCCCTAAATAACCTTGTACTTGGAAAAAAAACCTGATCATTCGGATAAAATTAATAATTCCTTCTCAGAGGAAATACAATATCTCGTCTTATTATTGCACTCTGTTCCATTCTAATGGCATGGGAACCGACCGCATCATTTATCATAAACACTCTGTGTTCGATTTGGTCTATTTGGGGTTTTGTTGTTATAATTGAGAAATCACTCTTTTGTCACCTGGTAAAAAAATTATTAAACTCACACTAAATTTGATTCTTTGTTATTGTGCGGGTAGGATTCACAATTTTATTCAGTCAAGATATATCAAAACAAAAGTATTGTGTAATCTTCAATATGCATCGGAAAATGTTGCAACGCAGTTAAGCCGAAATTTGAATCGAGGAGTCTAAACCGTTTTACCAACAAAACTTAAACAGTTTTCTGTTCCATTGTTTATTCAAGGGGCTGGTTTCTAAGCTATTCAGCGGGCCATCAATAAATCATTCATGTTCAAAGCTACTTTTTGCCACAAGGTTTATGTAGAAATTTTATTTCAAACAAAGCAAAAAATTTCTGTATCTGTATCTTTCATTAGCGAATTTCAATAAAATTTCACCCTCCTCTTGAACCAACGGAAGTTTCAAATTCGGAGTATTTTTGTCAAAATGTCACATCTTGTAACTCAGTACCTCTTTTTGAGTTTGTGAAAATACCTCAATGAGACTTAGAGATCTGCTAAACAAAATCAAACCATCTACTAAAATCTTATTTAATTATCTCAAAGATAATCTTATCTTTGGAGGAATATAGATAATTTGCGTCTTCAGTTGGGTGAGAACATAAGGGACATTCGATTCTCTAGGTGAAAAAGTTCAGAATTGATACTTAACACCAATTTCTCATCAGCGTAACTAATAACAACCTCATATCACCAGTTAATAACATCACGAATTCACACCGTTTGTATGAAAACTAAAATTCACAAATCACAGCCTTACTAACCTTGCAGGATCTGCGGCAGTTTTTAGGTCATCAACTCGCTTTAAAACTCCAGCCTTGTGCATAATTGAATCACCTTCAGTGGACCTGTCAAAAAATCTACACGCTTTTGACAGAAATGTTTAAATTGTCAAGCAGGTAGTTTAACTTATACTGTTATCAATATTAATGACCGAAATATTTGTATATTGACGGCCAAGGACACAGAAATTGAAAAACCAGCGTGGTGTGGGTGAGATTGTAAATAACGACACAAGTAAGTGGTTGATATTTACAGGGAAAAAATGTTTTAGGACTATGATCCTGTTAACGATTATCGTATTCACTTTTAAGATCTTAAAAGCAATTCTCCCTTCTAACTGCTTTTACTAAATATAGAAAGTTTGTTGGAGCTACTTCTCAATTGGAGTCGAAAGTAATCAAGATTGCTTTGGTTCTGCTTCATTTCGCCATGTAATTGGTCTAGGAAACTCACGCCACTTTCTCAACCAATCAGATTAAAAACTAACAGCCAATCGCGACTTGGTCTTCCGCGTTTTCCCGCGCTTGGCAAGCAGTTTGCTTGTTTTCGCTTGGGGCTCTTATTGACGCCCTGTGATATTTTCGTGGCTCTGATTGGCTATTGTGGTTACCTAAGTTTTGGATAGAGATGTTCTCTACATCTCGACCTGGTTGATAGATTTTTGTATTCTCATCACTTGTTTGCTGGATAATGTATTGATATTTTGAGGAGGAGTAATATATCAATCACTTCTTGGAGTTTTCTTAAGCCTTAAGTGATTATGAGGAAACTTCTCCGTTTCAATATCGACGCATTTTCAAGCTAAACGGTGGTGAGCATTGAAAAACTAATCTACTCGAGAGTTATAGCATGATATCATCATCATCATCATCATCATCAGGTCGAGCTTGCTTGGTATTCCATGACACGCTCCCTCCACCTTTCTCTGTCTTCC